GAAAGAAAGAAAGAAAGAAAGAAAGAAAGAAAGAAAGAAAGAAAGAAAGAAAGAAAGAAAGAAAGAAAGAAAGAAAGAAAGAAAGAAAGAGTTCACAGACTCCTTTATATAGGCTAATCATTTTGGATATTTGGAGTTAAGAGAAGTTTAACTTCTCTCCCTATCTTGAAGTGCTTTTCTGAAAGCCACAAAATAATATTCAGAGACAAATTCTCCTGTCCCACCAGGTGGAGCAGCTCTCTCTCCACTTCAGAGGAGAGGGGTTATTTCCCAACAATGTTAGCTGCTCTGGGGTGTGGAGGGTTCCTCAGGTTGGATAAAGACAGTGTATTTTCTCATTTCCCCCCATCATATGGACACATTTTGGAGAGGTACAGTAAACAGGATTTTCTGGGCACACTAAAGGCAAAAGATGAGGTGACCCTATCTTCTAGCTACCAGAGTAAGAACTGTTCTATTTTCTTTCTATTCAATGGAGACATCTCAGGCACACTTGAAGCAGTTAAACAGAAATGTGAAGAAGTAATAGCTACAGAAAGCAAAAACTGAGACTGGCCTCCCCTTAAAATTTCCCTTCCCAGGGCCTCCACACCTCTGCAGTTCCCACACCCCTACCTCCTTCCCTCTGCACTTGAAGACGCTGGGGCACTTCAACTTGTCCATGGTTCACTCACTCCCTCCACTTGCTCCGCCTCGTCTTGCAGTCTGGCTGAGCTCGACTGGTGGGCAGGTGCACACTCCCTCGTTGCTACCTGCCAGAATGAGCCACTTTGCCCAGAGGTGGGACCATTTATGGAGGGAAGCTCTCTCCTCCCCCTCCTGGGCGACCTGTCATGTCAATTACCGGAAGGGACCAAAGAGAGGCTCTGGTTTTTCCCCAGGTAAGCTGGCATGTAGCAATCCCCTGCCTTAGCCCCAGGAAAGGGTTGGGCTGTGAGACAGCGGAGCAGCCTGAGCCAGATGACTGACAGCCTTTGACTCAAAGCCCAGCAGGTGCCTTCGCAATCTCCCCTCCTTTCCCAGGTTCCCTGCTTCCTCCTAGCTTCCTTACTTAGTCTGGACTCTGTCCTGGGGCCAAGTGCTGATCTCCATTGGTGCTGGAGGGGTGAAGGGCACAGTCTGTGGGGCCCATACTGTTCGACAAGATTTTCTTGAACAGACCATACCATCCTGGGCCCTGGGATTTCTCCAGATTTTGCCCCTCGCTAGAAAGCATTTGATCCCCTGGGGCGAAGGCAGCTCCCAGAGGGAAAGCTCTTGAATTGGGCACTTTGAAATGCAGCCAACTGAGATAGGATTACTCAGCTGGCTCTGCCTGAAAAGAACAACTTTGAGCCTATGTCTTGGGCACCTTTCTCAGCCTTCAGGATGGCATTGCCCTTTACAGGGATTGCTTTGTGTACTATTTCAAAGAAGCCAAACAAAAGCAAATTATTAAGCAGGTTTATGGGAAATTCTAACCTTAACAAAGGATTCCACGTTGCAAGAAAGGCGAGGCCTAGAAAGTAAAATATGAGGAAGCACTGTAGCTTGGCCAGGGAGGAAAGAATCATTATAGTACTGTTTACCGATGTAGCAACTTTTCATCAAAAAACTCAAAGGATTTAAATGCCATCTGTCCAGGTAAAAGGTAGTGGCAGTTCTCTGAAACATAGTGCAAATCAGGGCACACAGAGGCACCAGCAGGGAGCTAAATTCTGTACCCCACATGCATCTCCTTTGTTCTCCACTGACTGAGGTGAATTTTCCATTTGCAGTAGAAATATGCCCTGAGGAACCTGGGCAGGTAAGGCAGAGAAAAGTCTAAAAGGGAAGTGGGAAGGTAGTAAGGAGAAGGTATCAAGAAGTTTCATCTAACTTTGCCTTGAACATAACACAGGCTGGTGTGTGTGTGTGTGTGTGTGTGTGTGTGTGTGTGCGCGCGCGCGCGCGTGCGTGCGCCTGTCTATTAATATGAAATACTATTGGTATGAACTGAAGGCTAAAATGAAGGAATTAGTAACCTGTCTCAGACGTAGAAGATGGCATATAAAGAAACCTCTTTATAAAAGCATGAGCAGAAAGGCAAATCTAATAGAATTTACCAAACTATCAAAATCCCATATCAAAGTTCTGTTTGCATAGGGTACTGCAAACAGGTGGTAACTGTGGGAATAGAAAGAGAATAGGAGTCTTAGGGATAGGTTATGGGGATAGTAAGGCACACAGAGGAAACCATCAGCAATTTTCCTTGCCTATTAGACAGTAGAGAAATTTCTAGCAACTTCGAGAGTTTAGAGCATCAGAGGGATAAAATTTAAGATAGAAGGTATTTAAGAGAATGTACTCTTGTTTACGTGTTTGTTTTAGGGGGATACTATTCCCATTGCCATATGTGGCTTTTCATGACATGGCTCTTGTATACCTTTTTAGTCTCATCTTTTGTCATACATTGCCTGAAACTCAAGTTTGTGTGTCCTTCCCTATGCCTCCACCTACATATTGTTTCTTACTCCTGTGCCTTTGCTCATGCTACTTCTGGAAATTCCTGCCCTCCTTAATTGGCTAACCACGAGTCAACCTTTAAGACTCTGCTTAGGTGTCACCTCCTCCAGGTCTTTCCACAATGGTTGCACCTCTATTACTGTGGACTGGGTTTAGACGCCTCTCCTCTGTAAGCTTACACTACCCTATACACATTTTACATTGTGTGAAACTACTTGATTACAGTCTTCTAGACTGCAAGTTCTCTGAGGGCAGGGCAACTTTTTAAATCATTCCTGTATTCTCAACACCTAGCACAACATCTGACAAAGAACAGGCACTCAGTAAATGCTTATTAGAAAACTCTACTCAGAATGACTTTCTGATCAAAAAAGGGAAAGTACAAGTGGTCTACAATTCATTCCCAAGAGATCATAAAACATGAGGAGTGAATTTTTCTCTTCTATGGGGTCTGACTTATTAACTGATGAACAATTGTGTTTGTGAATTTTTTACTTATTTGGGACTTGAAAAATATAGAAATTGAGTGGGGAACAAGATAGAGGGAACTACATTAACTCAGTCACAGAGGTTTGAATGAGCATGGTGTGGGAGAACATGAAAAGACTCTGTTAATTGTTGGAGTACTAAGAAATAAGGTTGGAGGGAGAAAGTGTGGCCATTCATGTGCTTTGAAATCCAGGACTAAGCCATGGCCTGATAGGCAATAGTAAAGTAATTGTTAACTTGAGGATGACACATAGAATACTCCAGTTGTGAAAAAAAAAACACTTCAACATTATAATTAATGACCTTGATGCACTGAGTTGCACAATACTGAGTTCTAACTATGGGCCATCTCTTCTAGGACACACATACCACAGTCATGAATCTGCTCAGTTTATAAAAAAAAGGAAACATTGACAGCAATTTAAGATTTATTTAGTAAGAAGTCAGTAAAAACTAAAAATCAGTTCATAACTGATTTTTGCCCAGAAAAAAAGTTAAAATAAAAATGTATCCAATAGGTATACCCCACATCCTTTTCCCTTCTTACTCAGGTTAAATTTATGTCATTATCCATGGAATTTCCTTCAATTCTGTTTTTAGTCACTAAAAATAAAAGGGGCTTATTACATAAAGCTTTTTAAAAACTATTTGGATTTGAAAAATTTGCACTACTGTGAAAGCATTTGAACAATATCACAAACCTAATGCCTTATTTAGCATTTCTAGCCTTCTCTTAAAAAAAACCCTATTAAACTTCACCAGCTGAAAGTCTAAGAGAAGGAACACCATTAATCTATCTACAGGAATATAAAATACATACATACATATACACACACACACACACACACACACACACACACACGCACACACTGGGGGTGCCCAAAAATATGTATATAAGTGGACACTTTGGTCAACGTTGCTCAAGCAGTAGTTCGCCATAATCAGAAGTGTCTGGACACTGATGGTAACCACTTTGAGCACCTCTTGTAATTGCAGAAGTTAAACGTGACTTGTATTCATCTTTTGTTATAGGTATACATTGAGGATTACAATTTTAATACAGGTTTCCTTTCTTAAAATGTGTATACATTTTTTGGCACCCTTGTGTGTGTGTGTGTGTGTGTGTGTGTGTGTGTGTGTATCTCCTATCATAATAAATGATGTATATGAAATATCTCTTTAAAGCTTATAGTTTTAGACATTAACCAATTTGTTAAAATACGAGACTACACCCAGAGTCAAAATATTATTAAATTATTTCTTAAAAAGTTTTCTTTAATTCTAGGTAAAAAGACTTCATTAGGAAAGACAATCACATAGATTTCCTTGCTGCCCACTGGGAGGTAATGAATAATTCTCTAGCTACATCAGCTAGTGAATGGACCGACAAAACACATACTACTTTCCTACAGAATACTAATGGATGACATGCCAGAGAACCTTGAAAGAAAAAGATAGCTCCTGACGCATAATTTCACAGTGGTGCTTTCTATACAGGAAAAGTGAATCTGTTAAATTTCATGATTATTTTTTACATTCGCTGTAACATACTGTATAGCTTTTCTTAAGTATTGAATGTACAAATCATAGGTGTACAGCTTGATGAATTTTCACAAATCTAATACTCCCATGCCTCTAGCACCAAGTTCAAGAAACAACAGTACCAAAACCCCAGAAGACCCCTCCTAACCCTTCTCAAGGTTAACCACTATCTTGAATTTTAACATCATAAATTAGTTTTGTCAGTTTTTGAACTTTTTACATATGGAATATTATGGCAAGTACACTTTTATATCTGACTTCTTTCTTTACTTAAAGTTTATTGGAGTGACTATTGTTAGCAAAGTTACATAGATTTAAGGTTTACAATGCTGTAATACATCATCTATATATTGCCTTGTGTGTTCATCACCCAGAATCAGTTCTCTTTCCATCACCATATATTTCATACCCTCTAACCTAATCTACCACCCCCCTCCCTGACTTGTTTAGACTCAACATTACGTTTTGGAGATCCAACCATACTATAACACAGACATGTAGTTCATCTATTATCATTCTGTATATTATTCCAATTTATGAATATACCACAATTGATTTGTTTTACTGATGGACATTTAGGGTGTTTCCAGATTGAGGCTTTTTTGAAGAGTACAGCTATGAACTTTGCTATTACATGTCTTCTGTATGTATTTCTGTTAGGTATAGGCCTAGAGTAGACTTTGTGAATCATAGGGTATACCCTGTTTAGCTGTAGTAGATGTTGCCAAAAAGGTTTCCAAGGGATTTTCCAATTTACATTCCCACCAGCACTACCACATAAATTTCTAAAGTCATGGAATTGAATGGGCTGTAGAAGGAAAACAAGGAAGATGGAAGGAAGAGGGTGCTTGATGGGAAAAGAGAAGAAATAGTTACTTACTGAGCCAAGTACCATGTTAACTGCTCTACATTTATGATCTCATTTCATTCCCATAGAACCCCTTTGAGGTAGGAACTATTATAATCCCCATTTTTGAAATGAAGAGACAGCGGTTCAGAGAAGTTAAGTGACTTGCTGAAAGTTACACAACTAGTAAGTGACAGGTCTGATATTTGAACCCAGACTATCTGACTCTAAAGTCTATGCTCTCAAACCACTTTGTTATAAGAACATGATGACAAAATGTTAGAAAATGCTTTGTCCATGGCATTTCTGCTGCATATGGCTTGGTACCCATCAGCATTAATGATGACATGGAATAATTAGGCATCATTGAACCCTCCCTA